TTATTATTATTATTATTATTATTATTATTATTATTATTATTATTATTATTATTTATTTATTTATTTATTTATTTATTTATTTTTAATTTAGTAAATGCCTTTACCTACCAAACATGAACTGAACTGAAGTGAGAACCAGACAAAAACTGTGAATTCAGGTTTAAGAAGTGGTTTTATTTGTTTTTATTTTGCGGTCAGATCAGGCAGCGATCCATGTTTCGCTGTGGTGGAATAATGCCTTTATTAAAAACTGCTTAAATCAGGGTTCACTTGACATGTGGTTATAGTGCAAAAAATGTCAAAACTCCTCCACCCACCCCACTCATAATTAATGGGTGTGGGCAGATTGCTTCCATTGTTGCGATGACTCCCAATCCTTTGTTCCAAATTAGTCGGAGGCCTCCAGCTCGTCCAGTGCATCCTGGAGCCTGTGCAAAACACAAATGAAACATTTTGACTTCCAGAATATTCACATTAAACTGACCTTGAGACCATAACCAGCTGAGATTTCTGCCTCGCATAATGTCTTGATGCATGCATCAATCATCCAGGTAAGGAAATCCCAGAAAGCTGATTCTGTTCATCTAGATGTATCGTTTTGATTCTGCTCATCTAGATGTTGCGTTTTCAGAAAACACTACATCTAGATAAACAGAATCAACTTTCTGGGATTACCTTGCATAATGGTGTAGTTATTTTTGGCCATGCAACTCATGCTATCAATTGATTTTCATATTCACCTCCACCATCACCATCATCTTGCCATGACCTGCATTTTTTTTTCTTCCACCACATCTTTATAGCTCTTACTTGAAGTCTCCACCATCCAGCAGAGTCTTGTAAGTGCTGATCTCGCCCTCAAGTTTCATCTTCATGTTGAGCAGCGCCTCGTACTCTTGGGTCTGCTGCTGTATGTTCGCGCGTAAGCTAGCCAGCTCCTCCTCCAGCCGGATAATGAGGGTGTTATACTTCTCCATTTCCATGTTGTTACGTAGCTCTGTGTTGTGCAGGGTGTCTTCTAAAGAGGCTTTCTAATAAAAGGAGAAATAAAAGCTGTAAGTATAAGAAAAGATGAGGAAATATATGCTTTGCTAACTAAGAGTGGGCGCAGTGGTCATGGTATTCAACTGTGCCAGTTTTGTAGTAAAAAGATATAGAGAATGCATTGTGGAATAGGGTCATAAACTTAGAAAGGATTTGATAATTTCATGTTTATAAATAAAATCAGTGAAAATGCTTACTAAGCTCTGTTGAGATGCAAGTTCAATTTCCAGAGTCTGTATCTGTCGTGATAAGTCGCTCTTCTCCATTTGGGCCCCCTGGAGAGCTTCTGTGTTCTGTGATACCTGCACCTGCACATCTGCAATCTGCCAGGGACACGAAAGGAAGATGGTCAGAAACACAGTGGCTCAGCGTGTCTTTTGAATCAAACTTCTTAATGTCCACCGCACCTGATTTTCATGCCACCGTTTGAGATCTTCTGCGTTTTTCAATGCAATCTTCTCGTAGTTGGCTCTCATGTCCTCCATGATCTGGGACAGGTCCTGACCTTTGGGAGCGTCTACATCCACCTGCACACCTGACTGTGAGATCTGACTCCTCAGCTCCATTACTTCCTGTTGGATCAGCAGAATGAGAAAAGAAATGAAGAAGACAACAAAACGTGTGACTCTATATGTTATTATCAATCTGATGAACCGCAAGCTCACGTTCTCATGGTTCTTCTTTAGGAATAGAAGCTCCTCCTTCACGGCTTCAATCTCGTTCTCGATGTTGAGCCTGCTCATGTTCGTTTCGTCGAGGACTTTCTTCAGCCCGCCAATGTCGGCCTCCACGGACAGGCGGATCGCCATCTCATTCTCAGATCTGTGGGAATGAGCAGACACAGTGTATGAGAGACACAATCGCAGAGTGTAGGAATGACTCCACATGCAAAGACGAGACGATCACATACTTGACTTTGAAGTCGTCGGCAGCGAGGCGGGCGTTGTCAATCTGAAGCACTAAACGGGCGTTATCCATTATTTTATCGAAGATCTGGACAGGAAAATAAAACATTGTTTAAAAAATTATTATTTTATTATTTTCATTTTACTTGATTCTGCTGTTTAGAAAGAACAGAGCTGCTTAACCCGTGCACAAGTCAGTAGCCAGTTCTAATAATTATGTGCTTTGACACAGCATTTTTTGTAGGCCCGACTTGCCTTATGTAACCACCGATACTCAAAAAGTCAAACTGCAAAAACCGACCGCAGCATGATTGAATCCATAGTAACCTGTAGTCATAAAAGAAGAACCATAAACTGAAGAACAGGAAGTGAGGGTGTTCCTGTGCCAAAACAGAATCTGGTTTGTTTTAGCGTTGCCAGAGCAACATGTATCCTGTCTCAATAAATCATAGAGAGAAAGTTTCTCTTCTGTCCACCCAACTGCACATGTCTCTGTCTGTCTGTCTCTGTATGTATCACCGATCGCATCTATGCGTGCACAGAGGGAAAAATTCTTTATCGTGACTGTGGCAGTGAGTCTATGATTTCTTCTTGTTTCCTGTCACAGAGGGGAAGGGGAAATACTTTAGTGTGGTAAAAAAAAAAAAAAGAGTAAAAAACTAAAAAACCACCATAAATGTGTCATTATGTGATGCAGAAAAGCGGGACTCTGGAGAAGAATGTGACATTTGACTCTGCTGATTGTTATACAACCACTGCACTGACACGCATCTATCTGTGCGTGTGTGTGTGCACACTCACTCTGGCACTATGAGATCGCTTTGTATGTACGAGTGCCACACATCTGTTTCCCATTGAGCGCCTCCTACACTACGCATGCTTGTAGAATCCACATCTAACAAGCAGAACCATTTAGAAATGCTTTTGTCTGCTGGTTTTCTGAGAGCTTCGCAGTCCGTCTCTCGTGATGATACCCTTGTGTTGGTGATTCATCAGAGGAAGTTGGGGCCAGTCGAGAGTTTTATGGGGGAGGGGACTGGCTACAGTTGAGCTGCCACACCCGTCGTTCTCTTTAAAGAAATTTGATAACTTACAAAGGAAACACTGCTGGTCTCAGTAAAAGCATTCTCCAGCTTCATTTTCAAACACAGGTGATCTTTAAATAAAGATTATGTTAAAACCTTCTTGCTGGAAATATGTAGTGTTGAGTGCTGTCACATGCACTCATTCATTCTCAAATTTTAGCCCAGCTAAACTATTTCTAAAGTATCTTTCTCACTGTGTCTTATCAAACACCTTTTCACTTTTCTAACATTTTCATTTGTTCTCAGTTCTTACCTGTCTGCGTAAGTCGTCTATGATGGGCTCATACTTGCTGTAGTCTCTAATGTCAGGGCCTCCTTTCTCCAGGGCCTCCATGATCTTCAGCTCCAGTTCCTTGTTGGCCTTTTCCAGGGTCCTCACCGTCTCCAGGTAATTGGCCAGGCGATCGTTCAGGTTCTGCATGGCTCCCTTCTCATTGCCCAGGATCGAAGCACCGGAGCCACCGCTGGCTGTCACGGACGCGCTGGCACCACCGTAACCGGCGCCCATGCCTCCACTCAATCCACTGCTCAGCTTAAAGGAGGTTGAAGGTCTAAGTGGAATACCAGAACGCAGGGAAGATGCAGAAGCAGAGGAGATGCGAACATCCTGTCCACCAGCACCAGCATAAATACTGGCAGCACGGTACACTGGGGTAGAGCGGGTGAAAGACATCCGACTAGATCTTGTGGTCATGTTGGATAAGTTTAGACACGGCAGAGGATGAAGTGAAAAATGAGATGTGGAGACTCACTGCTGGCTGGTCTAGAAAATGACGCCGGCAGTGGGAAGTGGGGAACTTATACTCCTGCCTCTCTCCCCCAATGAAAGCTGGTGTCTCAGACCCTGCCCACTTCAACATCACCCCAGTCTTTGTTTCCTGTTTCACTCACTCACGCACTCACTCACTCTCTCATATGCTTCCTTTTTAACCCACAATGTTTTTTCTGTCTCCAAGGAAATGTGTTAAACATATTTTGTGGTGTAAACATGTAATAGCCTTCTGAGCAGATAACGGAACTACAGAGACCACATAAACCAACACACACAGCAAATAACAGAAAGCAGCAATGGACAAGCATATGTTTCTAGTGAGAATTAAAAGCAAATATTAAAGGGTAAAATATGGTGAGTATTCAACGAAATACTTTTGGTTTGCCCGAGAAAGGAATAATGTCTAGTACTTGCTGCGTGCTTGCAAGTTTGTGGTCAGCCAGGCCCAAAATAAACAGACTGTGCCAGCCTTCCTATCTTAACTGAACTGAATACAGTATGAAACAGCTACAACTAAAACATGGCGTTAAAGAAATGTCTCGATCAGATTAAGCAGATTTAGAAAAACCACACCAGAAGTGATGCCATCTGATTTACTAACAGACTCAGCCACGACTGTGATCGAATTCCAGCACACTGAGTAGGATATACAATGATGAACAAAGAAATCGGACATAGTGCTGGGAATACCTGTGACACCCAAGCTTCAGCTGGATCTAAAGGCTCTGCAAGAGATGAAAAACAAAGGTTAGCTGATACCCGGGTCAAAGTACAATCAAAAGGAAATAAAAGCTGCCCTCATTCAACTGTCACAGTATAGGCGATTATGTGCACAAATCAATTTCTATTGAGGATTCTGAACAATTATCTTTGAAGTCTTATCTTATTTTGTGCCTCTGGACATTTTCTCTTATCCTTTGAGAACCTCAAAGAAAGTAAAACAGAATACTGCAGTGCTCCTTGTAGCTGTCCTAAAAATGTGTTTGCAACATGATGAAGGTGAATAAATGAAGTGGAACATACAAATATAGAGGACTGATATATACACTGGAGTAAAACCCTGTTATAGACTCTCAAACACAAAAACCTTTAATTTTCTTAAATCCAGTTACAGTATTTAGTGCTCCAGCATGACCTTGGAAGCGCTTAAGTGAACCTAAAGTTGTGGCCAGAGAGGGTTTTCCTCTCTGAGCCCTTAGAGACCTGGATAATGAAGCACCCACAGGGGAAATTCCAAAAACTCATACAACCTCCTGCGCCCCCTTACAACCTCATTCTTTTCATTTCTGTTCCTCCCCTCGCCTCCAAGCTTGATCAGCTTTCACCGTGTACATTCCCACCCTATTACTGTGTATGTCTTTACTAATTTAATTTAGTAACACTCAGTAAGAAGAGAAGAGCTTGTGCTGTAGAGTGGCAAAATAGCAAAGAAAAAGCAAAGAATGCACTGCAGCAGAGGCAGATTAGAGGAACGATGAATGAAGTCAGCATGACTCATACCTCATGACTTGTGGCCGCCGTCTCGTTTGTTTGAATGTGTGTTGGCAACCTTTTCCCCAGGCCAGTAAGTCCTAAACCTTGCAGTGACAAACAGAGAAATAAACTTGAGCTACAGGTTTATATAAAACAGCTTAATCTCTAAATTGCAGAAAACATCCCAGATTCAATCAAGACTCTTATCTTTAAATCCCGACTCACACCACTAAGATTTCTTTTTAAACCAAAGATAATAAAAGGAAAATAAGGGGATACTGGAGAGAATGGAGACTGTGAGTCATAGTAACACACAGCAGGAGTCTGGAAACCACTGCAGAAGTTTCTGTTCTTTTACAAATCTTGGCTAACTGTCAGATTACTGCAATGCTCAGACTGCTGCGGCCTCGAATTAATTTTACTTCCCTCCTTCTTTCTCTTTAGTTTTCTTTCTTTACAGCGTAAACCGTATGCTCGTAGATGTATACAAAATCCAAAATCTACATTTGCATAGATGCATTTGCATATTTATTATCATGCATATTGTATCTGTGGTCGTGTCACACATACACAAAACAGTGCTGACATGCATGTGAGTATGATACACTCTAAGTGACTCACATTTCTGCATCCTCCCTTCCTCTTTTTTGTCATTCTTTCACTGACTCATCCAAGATGCTCAAAGATACCAAAGAAGGGACCTTGTTTAAATTTGTACATACAGTACTGTGTAAAAGTTGTGAGCCATCCCTGACTTCTTTATGTTTTGCTTCCCAGGAGCCAGACTTTTATTTATTTATTTATTTATTTTTAAGTGGTCTTGAGCAATAGTTCTCCAGGCTTTCTTAAGGTCTTTCAATTTTTCTTTGGAGATTAGCAGCTGTTATACTTTTAGTCCATTCCTTGCAGCTGACTATTTTTAGAGCATTTTTGTATGTTAAGCCACTCAACACGGACCTATGAATCATTCAAGTATGAAAAAGGTACCTAACTGAAGATATAAACTTAAGAGAGAGTACATTTTATGTCTTCAGGCACTTTTTCTCTAGCAGCCTGTAGACTTGTAGTCAAGACTGCCTAAACCAAGACCAAGACAAAGACAGACTGAGTCAAGACCAAGACAAAGTCGAGACGAGCAAAGACCGAGACAAAAAGGTCTTTAAACTGCAGCCAGATGCTGCTTCGTTTACTGGTGTCAGGCATATTTATGTGTTTTTGGGATGCACTCGCACAGCCCTCCTCACCACTGTCTACTGTCTCACTCACTTACTGAGAGGACAGACGCAGCTCCACTTGATTGTCACATCTCTCACCCTCTCTGTTTTTCACATAATGATATTATCCTATATCCTTGCATGTGATTGGCCACAGTATGGAGGGATTGGAGCATAGCTGAGTCACTGTGTGAGAGCTGAGCAGCGAAAGGAAATTAAGTGAGGAGCCGGCTCTCGCTCAATGGGAGTCGACTCTTCTGATTCACTACAAAGCGCTCTCTAAGCACGGCTCTTAGAGCTGATGCTTTTGCGCATGACACATTATCGAATGTTACGTTGTGTGTCATGGATACTGTTGACTCCAAGTCTCCCGATCACTATGTCGATCTGAGACAGCAAGACCGAGAAAGCGAGACCAAGACAAGACCAAGATCAAAGTCGGTCAAGACCAAGACAAGATCAAGTGAAGACCAAGACCGGTCTCAAGACATCCTACTCTAGCAGCTTGTCACAAAATATGTTCTCATTTATTTACTTGATTCTATGAAAAATGTCAAAGATAACACATTTTGAAAGGCATAAAATGCTATCTTTGGATCAGTGAGGTAATTCCCAAAGAGCTATTAGCTGAAAACGTGGCATATCTTAACACTGTGTGCAGTGTGTCCTTAGTGTTTCCTGTGACGTAAAAACTATCTACAGCAGATAATCAGTGCCTGAAAGTCATGTCCTCTCCACAGAGCTTGGACCTCGACATTACTGAAGCAGTGTGGGATCATGGCGAGAGAGAATGGAACAAAAGCAAGCAAGCATCCAAAGAAGACTACTTAAAGAAATGATAAGAAAGCTGCCTCAGAGATTCCAGGCTGCGTTAAAGAATAGAGGTGGTCACACTGGATATTGTCAGTAGAATTGTACAAACACATTTATCTTCTAGGTTAAACGTGGACCATTGGCAGACAAGAAAGCTCACACAGCAGAGGTTATTGAATTGTGTCGCCTAAGAGACATTTTCTCTGTGAGATGTCATTTTCATTTCTGGCACAAAGACATTTCACAGGAAGACCTAAAATGAGCCTGAGCTACGAGTTTGAGCTGATGCACTGGAGAGTCACCTACATGCCCCTGTGCACAAGAGACAGATTAGCTTAGGTTCATTGCAGAGTTCAGCAATATAACTGATTTAAAAAATATCTGTTTAAGTGGTAATTTCACGAATGTATCCATTGTGTTTCAAAATGTATTTGAGGAAATGTGCGAGTTTATTCTCTACCAAAGTCCATGCCCTATTTCTCAGTTTTAAAGTGATTCACACTATAATTTTTCAGTTTAATATCTTTTACTATGCACCTCCTGTAAATTAAGATTCACAATGTAGACGTTTTCACAATACCAACAAATAAAGGACTCGCTTTATATATGGGAATGGATTCACTTTACTGAATCTACCTCTGCGCTCCAACCACAAGGGGGCACAAGTCTCAAAGCAAACAAACCTACTGGAGCAGAAGAAGGGTGGTCCTCTGCCTTTAGCGAGTTTATGTCCATTGAGTTTATATACCTCTTACCAAGCGCGTAAATGTGTATTTCATCACTGTATGTGGGTGTTTTTTGTTTGAACAGGCATTCAAGGGTGAAGCAGAAAAAGAGTTTTATAGCACATACTTTTGATTGCTTTCAAGGCTTGGCAAGCTCCTCTAAACACAGCAAAGTCCAACTTTGCAGACCAAAGAACAAAAAAAATAACAGCAACGCCACTTCTTACTGTAATGAATATTTTTGCATGCCTGCTTTTTATGCCATTTCTAAGTATATGCATTTTAATCTTTTATCATATACCTGTCAAATGATAGCTACACATAAATAATTGGATCACTTGCTGAATTTGTAACTTTTCTCATTTCTAAAGAAATGATCCGTTTGTCATTTTTATTGTAGTTTAATTTTAATGAGGAGAGACAGAATATCAACAATTAAAAACAAAACAAAACACAATATACAGGGTGGGCCATTTATATGGATACACCGTAATAAAATGGGGATGGTTGGTGATATTAAAGTCCTGTTTGTGGCACATTAGTATATGTGAGGGGGCAAACTCCTCAAGATGGGTGGTGACCATGGTGGCCATTTAGAAGTCGGCCATCTTGGATACAGCTTTTGTTTTTTCAATAGGAAGAGGGACATGTGACACATCAAACTTATTGGTAATGAAAAACAATGGTGTGCTTGGTTTCGACATAACCACTTATAAAATGTGTTCAATGTGCTGCCCATTGTGTTGGATTGTCAATGCAACCCTCTTCTCCCACTCTTCACACACTGATAGCAACACCGCAGGAGAAATGCTAGCAC